GCCAATTCCTTTATGAAAAAAAACGGTGTCCATTGATGTAGTCCAAAACGCCATTCAGGAAGTAGGTCCACGTCAATAACTATGAACGACTGTCGCCGACTTGCCCCAAAAAAAAAATTGAAAGTACCAGGCATCCCAATCGATCCAGATGAACTCTGCCATGAAATTACAGCTCCGACCCAAATATTAACAAAGGGGCAGAGCGAGTCATGATGTCACAAGACTTCTTCCGCCCCTTTGTGGACATTCAGAAGCAGAGCCAACATAATGACTCATTTGGTCCCGAATGTCAACAAAAGGACAAGAGCAAGTTTTGTGACGTCACGAGAGTTTGTCGGGATCAGTCGTGTCGATGGGCAACGGGTATTTTTTCTTTCGGTGAGTTGGTGGCCGTTGCCCATCATAATTGATGTGGATCTACATTGCTGGACGACGTGACTGACCTGTGGATAACATGGATGGACACTTTTTTTTTTTAAATAAAAGATTTGTCATAAAGCCTGCATACGGTGCGGTGTGTTTACTATTGTACTGTTTATTTGTTGAATGAGTAGGGGTAACCACTATACCCTTACTCATGTACAAGGAGGGCAGCATTTGGGAGCCCCCTTTCATAAAGGGGGCACCCAGATTCAGATAAGCGCCCTGCCTGCAGACCCCCACAACTTCCAGGCCAGGGTTGTGGGGAAGAGGCCCTTGTCCTCATCAACATGGGGACAAAGTGCTTTGATAGGGGGCTCCATGTTGAGGGCATGTGGCCTGGTATGGTGCAGGGGGGGGGGGTTGCATGTTTGCCTCCTCGCCCTTACTGCTCGGCCAGGCTACTGCTTGGATCAAATGACTTGTAAGGTATTTTTGGGGACCCCATGTTTATTTTTTAGGCATTGGGGTCCCCCCCTAAAATTCCTACCAGACCTAAAAGGTCTGGTATGAATTGGAGAAGGGAGTCCATGCTTTTTATTTTAACATAAAAATAATTCAGAATGACATTCAGGGGAAAAATTTTGCATCCGAATTTAGTTTTCAGAAAATTGGATACATTAAAGGATTTTAGGGGGGACCCCGCACATTTTTTTTATTATTGTTTCAGTGGACTGTCAAAAAGAATCTTTTTTTGCTGTAGCGAAAATCTGTTCCAAAATCTAATTGATCTCATCCAAAATTGTCGTTAATTTCGGATTAGTCCAAATCCTGAAACAAAATGTTGGCCACCATAATCTGATCCTGGGAATTGATTTTAACCTGTCCTTAATGCCGCGACTGGACTGTTCCTCCTGTAAGTTATTGGTCTCCTTTGTCAAGGTTTAAGCGATCCCTCGGTGACCTTCGTTTGGGCAATGCTTGATTTGGGCAAACAGATAACGGTGGAGAATTGGGAATTGGCTTTCTTTCACACAAATAAATCATCTGTTTCGTGTTATACGCAAGAAAAAAATATAAAATTATCTCTCACTGGTACAGAGATCCTGTATCTATACACAGTATTTTTTCTCATGTTCCGGATAAAACCCTTAACCCTCCCCAGAAATTGCTCTCGTCTATCTACCCAGGCACTGGCGGAACTACCAGGGTCACAACGGTCGCAATTGCGACCGGGCCCTAAGGGGGAGGGGGTGGCCAGTCAGGGAACTCCATTTTCATGCACTATTTTTTCTGACCGCAACGGAACGCAGGCATTGATTTGCCATGCGTTCCGGTGCAGGCGATCACACCGCAGTGTCATTGACTTTAATGCATCGCCACACCCCACACCCCCACCCCCAGAACGCAGTGAGCTGGACGGGTTGCAATCCAGTGTGTTCCAGCACTAAATCGGCCGGAACACACTGGAGCTGGTGTGAACTAGCCCTGAAAAAAAACAAAACAAAAAACAAACATACTTTTCATTTAATAGAAGAAAAAAAAGGTATCAAAATCATGTTTTTATTGGTGGGGCCTCAATGGTTTCTTGCACCGGGGCCCTGGGGTTTCTAGTTACACCTCTGTACCCAGGGTCAAAAAAGGGGTTGAAATTATCTATGCACTCAGACGTAGGCTTGAAGATGTCGGTCATTGATGAATTAGGCTTAAAGTAACAGTTTCTAATCACTTCAGAAGTTCCTTTACCCCCCAGTCCTAGATACCTAGAACCATCCTCTGGGCATCGCCCTCTAAGCCATCGTATGTCACCTTACCTTGCACATTCTGCAGGCTGTTAGACATTATTTTTGGCCAGTATCATAGTCCATTTAGCCATACTTTCTTCAGTAGGTAGCAATGGACCATATTATTTTAAATCACAATTAATGACTATTTTTTTTAATTTAAAAGGCCTCCTTTCTTTTTATAAGCAGTAGAATGATGGGCTTAACCACAAAAAAAACCTGTAAATTTTGCTTCATCAAAAAGCTGTTATTTTGTGTCATACCGATACAAACAAAAGAAATAAAACATGAGAATGCCTACAATGCAACAATTTTTTGCACGAAGTGGTGCATTATCTGACAGAAATGCAGGGGTGCCAATATTTTTGCACATGACTGCATATCTTTTACTTTGCAAATATTATTTAGCACATATACCCAAGAAGATATAACATACTTACAAAAGCAGAGTGGTTGGAGGAAATGCTTTCAATACTGTCACAGCTACCAGAGCTGCCCACGCTGTTCAAGGCTTCCATACCTACATGCCTTGTCCAAAGTTTTTTTTCTGGCATCACCCAAACCAGGTTTTAGGATGAACAAACTGACCAGTCTGAAAACAGATGCTGTAGAACAGAAGAACACATCCAATTAGTAAGTGTTAATGTTACAAATAAATTAGTAGTAAAAATGAGCAGTGTCTGACGTCTTGCAAGATCAGTGATATATGTGATAAAATGAGAAACTGGATGGGAACATGAAGCATTTGTAAGGCATACTAAGAATCTTAAAAAGGAACTTGAGAAAATAAAAATAGATGTTAGAAATACCAAGCAAACAGGGAGTCAGATGGATTTGCAAGACAATTTTTGTCAAGAGAATAAAATAGGGTTGTACAACCCTTAAAGAGATGAGAGAATGTTCAGTGTAATGTGAGGACCCGTTCACACTAGCCCATCCGCTAAACTCTAAACATTTTAGCAGACTCGTTAGTGCGCTGTGGCAGCTCTGGCATTGTGCGAAACATTGCTGTACAGTATATCGCTGTATCGCATACTTCCAGAGCCGTCATTGATTACATGTTACTTCTTAGCTTTATGCGGAATGTACAATGTGCACACTCCATATAGCTCCCTGCACAGCAACAAGGTGCACTGCCGTCAGCGACCTATGGTGGCATTCAGTGTGCAACATGTTTCCATGTTTATGCAACACACCATCCATCACACTTGTGTTGTGGGGTGAATGGGACACATAGAAAACAGTGGTTCCCTATGTGTTCTTGTGGTGACCTGCATTGATGCACTGTGGTAAAATGCAGGTCACTGCAATACTCATGGAATAATGTGATTTAAGACAACACATGGTATTACAGTACTGCACATTGAAATGTGCAGCGGCCTGGGAGGTGCACTGGGACGCCAGTAAATTGAATGCAACTAGATGTGTTGTGCAACAGTGTGTGTTAATTGCACAGAATCATGTGATTACACTACACCGGCATGTGAACAGACGCTAAGTGATTAGCGTGTTCTCCAAGTTAGATTTGTACGATTTTTTAACTTACAGTACCCCCAGGGCCCCTAAGATCCAGAGTACAGAAAAAAAATTTGAAAATGGAAAACAAAAAGAACAGAAATGATCATCAGTGAAGGTAAATAAGTATGGAGAGTTAATGTTACCAGTTTTGAAGAGTGACACACAAGACCATGATATTGTCTAACATTTTTATGTTATACCTGATCATCTCTCTTTATGTAATAGGAGATGTCCCTCTCTCCGATAAATGGAAATAAGACAAACATTTATTTTTTGCCTTAGGTACTACTTTGGTTTAGCCATAGGTCAAATAACAATGACCAGTTAACACAGATTCTTCATTTCCCCAGTTAAAGATATATAGTAGTGTTCAAGTAAAGGTCTCCAACAACCCCACTCAATCCTTCCCTCTTTTTCCACTTGAGAAATATAGTAGGGATAGAATCGTTAGCGTATCAGAAAAACACCTTAGGGAGTATGTTTAATAAAGATATCAAGTTTAGGTGATACAGTCTGGACCTGAGGTTATTACAAACAGCACAGATTTGAAGATGAGATTTTCTTCTTCTCCTTAACCTACATTAAAACCACCATATGGATCAGATACCATTTTAGCCTTCAAAAAGCATTAGTAAGATAGACAATAGATTATTTTTGGGTAGAAAGTGATATGTTCAGAAAGATACAGTATATAAGTGAGCCTATTACATATCCTTACTTGACCAAATGCACATACTAAGCATCACAAGTTTATTGAAGGGTGGAAAATACTTCACACGGGGGGGAAAAGAAAAAAGAAAAAAATAGCTTTTTTTCCCCTCCACAGCCAGTGTCCGTGCCCCCAAGTGGCTGTGTGCGTCCATAGACGCACACTGCCTTGCAGCAGGTCACTCCTCTCCACCTAACTGGCTGATTGATGGCAGAAGGTGCCCATGGCTCCTCTGCCCTTAATCTTCTCTCTGCAACCAGGAAGTTTGTGTTGGAGGATCGCTTCAGGGACTAGTGGAGGTAAAGCATTTTTGATAAAATAGATAAAGGCAAACAATAACTGAAAATATGTATGCTCTTTAAGACACTTATCTAGAAAGATACTACTGTATATGCTCTGCAAAATTTCTACACAACCTATCATGCAAAACAATAGAACAAAGCCTCCTGGAAGAACATTATGTTATACATCCTGATAAAATACAAAGAGTGACAGCCTTCAAAAGTTTTGGAAGATGTTGGTGCATTCAAGTGTTGATCATTCCCTTTTCTATTAAGCGGAACAAACCTTAACGCAAGAACATGTTAAATTGTGCTCTCAGCTGAGTCAGGGAGAAGATGTATAATGCGGTCAGGTCTCTGTAACATTTACTAAAACAAAACACACAGAGGTGTATCTGCAGACAAATGGATAGTAAATATAGTATCAGCCAATAAAGGGATAAACTAGATGACAAGCAAAAAGCAGTTTAAACTAGTGTCAGCTTCATAGCAACATTAATGTGGTCACGTGTCACAGAATTACCTTGACAAACCGGGTTTACCAGGTAGTGTACACAGGGTGTGTAACATGGGGAGAGGGTATGACCTACGTTAGAAAGCAGAATGGAAAAAAATAATACAATTGATGCATTATTGCTGCCAGTTTTAATTCTACTGATCAGGGACAAAAAAGCTTATAGATGCAGTAGGACATATTCAGTTAGTATGTCAATAACTGCAATCTTAAATGGAGAATGTAAATATTATACCCCATATACAAAACAGCATTTTGTATATGGGGTAGCATTTTGTGTATGGCTTGCTTTACTGAACTAATGTCAACCTTATCTTTCCACATTTAATTAAACTAATAGAGCATGCAGGGAAAAGTGTGATGTGAGATGGGTTTAAGTCATGTTTATTTTGTGTTCATAATGACCTATACAGAACAAAGCTACGCAATGCATGGAGAAATATAAAATATAAAACAGTGCTCCACACAATCCAAATTAATACATTGCAGCTCAAATGCTGTATTCTGGGTCCTTAATGCTTTTCAAGAACATACTGTTTTAGAAGCTTAAACACAAAAATATTTGTAAAATGACTCTTTAAGGGATTCTGCCACTTTACGAAAGCAACATGTTGCCGACAATATGAAGCATAGGCACCCAGAAAAGCCTGCAGGTAAGGGGCAATTGTTCAATATTTCCCTCCTTAGTTGTCTGGATGAATGGGGCATACTGCAATGAGTGGGCTAGAGAAAATAATCCCTGGTAGAGAGAAGAGAATCGAAAAGCACTATGTAATAGCATTCCTTATATTTTAAGGGAGCGCTGAGCCAGTGACCACACTCTCCAGGGGCCTAGGAAGACTCTTATGAGAAAAGTGGCTGCTAAATGGAGAGCACCTGCACCTACACTAATGGATGACTGTAAAATCTAAACATTTAACAATATTGTTTGCCCCATCTGTTCTACACACTAAAAGGAGTTCAAAGGGAAAAGCCATGGAAAATCTAGGCAACCAGGACCAGGCAACCAGGACTATAACAGGAACTAAACAAACATTCTGGAAAGGCAAAAGCGCATACATTTTTAGAAAGTTGTTTTCCTAATGTTGATGGTCACTCTCCAACACACAGAATGTGAGAAAATATTGTTAAAAAAAAAGGCAAAGAATAAAAACTGGATGTTTCAAAATTATTTTACGTACACATGTTATACAATACGTTCCCTGAGGCAATATTTTAAAAGGTTAGAAACAAATGCGTCTTATCTAGAATTGTGGAAGCTGTGCCCCAAAAAAGGCGCGAAGAGGACAAAGGACCAGTCACTAGTATTGCTTGCAGATTACCGGCAGCGTTTTTTTCCCCCACTTCACTTGAGTTGCCATACTTTGTTCTGGTGTGTGTGTATGTGCATGTGCATGTGCATGTGCATGTGCATGTTTGTGTGTATGTGTATGTATGTGTGTGTGTCCATCTCAATAGAGGCAGGGCTTTGTTCCATCATTATCAGAACTGCTCATCTGATGAATAATCAAGCAGCAACAGGAGAATTCAGAAAACACTCCACAGAACCAATAAAGTAGAATCAGGGAGATATTTGTCTGCAAGTCTTCAGATATAGCTTTCCCTACAGCAGGGAGAACAGTGAACAGCACAGTAGTGACATTGCTGAATCTCAGAAAAAAATAAAATGTGAAATCTGCAGTCAGTAGCAGCAGTACCTTAGGTCTCACTCGGCAGATATACAACTGATGCTCTAGGCTCAGAATTGCACCATTTTTTGTTTTAGGTGGAATTCAAGAGAAAATACATTTTTAGGGTATTGCTTAGGTCAAATTAACATTTCTAGATACCCCCTGTAACATAGCACTCCTTTACTTTTTTAGTTCATGTACACTTTAAGGGGCACTTGCATAATTTGAGAGCTACTATTCCTTCAAGAAAAGCTGCAAAATTGTAATCAACTGGCAAAAATTCAAAGTGAACAATAGGTTACTAAAAAAAATAAAATAAAGACAAATCTCCAAAAGTTATTTTATTAATAAAAAGATAACAAGGTCTGAGTATATAGGCCTTCTAAACACTAACTTGGAGCTGGTCACCAGGGACAAAGAAAAAAGAAAGCCATAATATACTGTATCTCGAAGGATACAATTAAAATAGGTGGTGCAGATAGAACAACATATGGAAATGGCATTAACACAGTTTAAAATGTGCCACATTGGTTCAGCTTTAATGAGGTCCAAAATACAGATAAATGTGAGGTACTAGATCAAATTGCTTACTTGTTCTCAAATCATTGTAGAAGACCTTTTAATGATTGGCAAAAAGGATTTAAAAGTATAAATTAAACTCTATTTTTTTTTTTTTGCAAATATCTACTTCTAGCATTAGTTGTGACTTTAATGTAACTTTAGAAAATTTGCCTAAATAAAGCTTTATGTTCCACACGAATTAAAGGGCCCAACGAATTAAAGGGCCCAAATCATGCCAGGAAAACATGCCCCAACCCATAACACTGCCCCCACCAGCTTGAAGGGTTGTACTCATGCATGTGGGGTGCATGCTTTCATGCTGTTTCCGCCAAATTCTCACTCTGCCAT